GGGACTACGTCCGTCATCACCGAAAAACCTTACTGGTTCTTCATATATTCTTTCTTGAAACATTTTTAACATTCTATAATATATAATAGATTTATTTTTTTTAAAAGCTTTCTCAAATCTAACATGAAACATATTATTAACATCTTTGGAATTCATATTGACATAAAAGAAGGAGTAGGGCTTGTCATCTACTGCTTTATGATACATATTTAACAGTTGCTCTTTATCAACAATGGCAGAGTTTTCCTCAATGAATGACATTAACTCTGATACATTCTTTAACTTGAATATATACAACGAACTTGAATTCAACCTAATGATTGGTGCTAGGACACGGTATTTTTGAACGCTTAAACAACAACTAATGGCGTCGTGTCTGCCTCTCGTTGCCAGTCCATGTAATAACTTGCTGTATCTAACAAATTTAGGGTCGTCTGCAAAATCATCAACTATGATTAAAATTGAATGTAGTTTCTTCATCTTCTGTTCTTTCATATAATGAATTATCTTTCTTTGCGTGTTAATTATTTCTTCCAGTTCTTCAGGTTGGTAGGTGTCATAATATAACTTTTCTTTTCCATCATCAACCTTCATATTATCTTTTTGATATTTCTTGACTTCAACGAAGGTAGGGTCATTATGAACAGACGGGCTAAAAATGAATATACGAGCGAAGCAGTCCCTATAAACATTTAGGATAAGGTTTTGGATTAAAACTGTTTTGCCACCCGTTGATGAAGCAACAACAATTGAGCGAAAATGTAGTTTTGGTACATGTTCATATTTGGATTGTTTGAATTCATAATCAGTTATGTTTTTTGGTTTTATAATGGGAACTTCAGGCATAAAATAATAATATTAAAAATATTTAGAAAATAAATTAATATTATTTTTTGTATGAAAGCATTGCTATGATATGAATGGTGTCTATCGTAGTAGAACAGGCTCTTTCATCAACTTCAGTCAAGAAGCATTGAAGATAATTAGTTTTGTGTCTTGCTCGCGTATGCAATTAAAACCCCTAAGTGCTGTGCCCCACCAATATTCTATTATGCATGAAAATAATAAGATTAAATAATTATTTCATCTTATTATTTAATATGAAAAGGAGTTATACAGATTATATTGATATAATAAATGAAGTACAACATATAGAAGATGTTGTTATAGCCGATAATAAAATTAAGAAATGTTGTTATTATTCATTAGCATTAATTAAGCTAGGAATACAATATATCAAAAAAAAATGTAAATATTAATATAAATGCCAAAAAAGAAAAACAAAAAGAATAAGACAGGTTCAAGTGTTTCATCAACTGATGAAGAAATTGTTAAAGAAACATCAGTTATTGAGGTTGTTTGTCCTACATGCAAAAGAATGTTAAAAACTTAAGAATGAATTACAAATACAAAAGAAAGGAAATTGTAAATGTTCGTGTATTCCAACAAGTTTAAAAATTAGTAAAAATGATAAGAAAATGAATATTGATAAAACTAAAGACAGTATCAACTTAGAAACAGATGTTCATAATATAACTTTTAAATGGGGTAGGCATGCATCACCATCCGATAATGGTGATAACGAAACGCAGGAAACTATTAAACAAATGATGAAAAATTAGTATTTAAAGAGTAGAATTAACATAATTTAAACATTTAGTTTTAAAAGTACAGTTGAATAATATAGTATATGGTTGAATTTTCAAGTTTAACACATTTACATTTTGGAGCACTTGAATTAGATAAACAAATTGGAGACAATAATTAATTATCATGGTGTTAGTTATTATACTTGTAAGTGTGGATGTAAAATAGTCTTAACTCGTACTCAAACTAAAAAATATAACTTTTTATTACTTAGTGTTGGTCTTAGCTATGAATATTTATATCTAGACAAAGCGTTAGTATGTGGACATACTCAAAAAGATTTAGATAACATTGTTAGACTTATGGTAGAAGGCGAAGAATTTAAACATTTAAGTAACAAAGACCTTCGAAATTAAAATATTTAGTTTTAAACCTTTAGTTTTATAATATAGTATATATGGAAGGTGTGGATAAACTAATTTTGAAAATTGATGAAATAATGGAACAAAATAAACGCATTTATCAACTGTTAGAAAGTATGAAGAAACCAGCTTACAATAATACTAATAATTACCAACCAAAAGAAGTTGATAGAGAGAGCACTGAATACAAGAATAAACGAAATGTATATATTAAAAAACTTAATGAAAAAGTTATTAAAGAACCTAAACAATCAAGTCTGGATTTCTACCAAGTCAAGTATATTGAAGATACCAAGAAATATGTTTAATCATTAACTAACAAAATTTCGTGTCTCAGAAGTGGTTTGTTTATTCCTGCTACTCTGTAAGTTTTATTACCCATAATGTCATATTCAATTTTATCAACATTGAATATTTTTTTTAGACCATTTAGAGTTATACTCTTTTCTGTCGGTGTAATTGCCCCTTTTTTTGAAACACTTTTATCTTATCGTTCTCCTGTATTCTGGGATACTTTCTTTTGTTCTTTTCTCGTAGTTTCAGATTGACCTTTACATTTATTTCATTGTCGTCCTTGTGTGCTTCGGTTGGTGTCATCCTTGTTGACGAGTGTAATGTGCTGTTATACTGTTTCAATGCTGGTGTTAAGGCATCGGTCCATTTCATATTATTAGACCTAGCTCTGTCATGAATTTTGTTTTTCATTGTCCTAATAAAACGTTCGGCTACATTTGCGTGTGTCTTCGTTATTATGTGTTTGATACCTTCGCTGTTGAAGAAATCCTGAACTTGGTTTTTGGTTGCAAACGCTCCATCATCATCAGAATACACAGACATCGGGTAACCCATCTTTTTAAAACTTGCTCTAAGCGCCTTCAAAACGTGCTCTCCGTCTCTTTCCTCCATCGGAATTACATCTGCTAATTTACTGAAGATGTCAATCACGACTAAAGCATACTGTGGAACATTCTTGTCTTTAGCTAAAGGTGACATATGCATTATGTCTATTTGATATTCATACCTAGCAAACGGAGCGGTATAGGAATTAGTGCCTCTATAATTTTTGATTTGTTTATTTGGTTGTTTCTTTAAGAAAGACTTTACATCTTCTAATGTTATCGTTGGGTCTTCTTCCTTTGCCTTCTTGTGTGTTGCTTGTGTGCTTCCGAAACCATCGTCTAAATCATAATAGATGTTGCTGATTATTTGGTCTTTCGTTAATCTTACCACTATAATATTTGTTAGAAAATATTTTTTATTAACATAAACCCCACCCCTTAACATAAAATAACTTAAAGAAATATTAACTTATAATATTAAGAAGTGAAATGCCAATGATAGGAGTGACAGAAAAAGAGCTGGAACAGGATAGAAAGATAATATTGAGTTTCATTAAGGATAATCCCTATCCATCATATAAACAAGGCATTGAAATAATTAGAAACGATCAAACAATGGAAGATATATATCTAGATATGTTCGCCGAGTATGGAGAACAAAATCATCAATGGATAAAAGAGATTTACGAAAACATAATGAAAGAAGAACTCGTTAAACATAATGGTAATAGTATTAACGAAAGAGGAGGAATGACAACAATGCATTTTAATTATTATACTTTGATATCAGTGTTGCGTTATTTAATACAACAAAGAGCACCAATGAAAGATTATGACGTTAACTTAATCTGGTATAATATCAGAAACATCTTAAGCAGTTCTTGGAACAACATAGGAGACTGGAAACACTGAAAATAGGTTTATTCATATTATTCTATAACTATAATATGATTACAACAAAGTTTTATAATCTAACACTGCATTTAAATGAAACCTGAAACCCCCAGCTAAAAACTACTTAAAGAAAAGATAATATAATATAATAAGAGACAATGAGTGAGAAATGGACTAACTTACCTGTTGATATATTAAAAAATGTAATTTCATATAAATTAGGGGAACCTGAGTATTTGAATATAAAACATAATCATATTGAGACATTAAAGAGAATACAACAGCGATATACATTTAAAAGAACTGAAACAAAAAGAAAGACAAAGCGCTATACTGTTGAAGATGGCGATGATTTCAAGAGACACATAATTAAGTATTACATTTCAAGAAATATACCTTTAAGCATTGAAAGCATCGAAGATATAGTTTTTAATGAAAATGAAAACTTAGATTGTTTCTTAGATGGTATTGAAACCGATAACGGTTATGAAGCAGTGATAATAGTTGAGGTATGTTTATTTGTGAGGGGTCATCAAGACGATGATTCTAGAACTTTTACGTTCTTTTCTCATAGTGATGATGTTGTAGATAATGTAACCATAGATAATTTATCAGAAGTAATGATGGCGTCGTATCAAGAAATAAGCAGTTGTATTGATGAAGAAAGAAGTATAATTCAAAACTAAACCATAATTATATCATTTATATTCTTATATGTTATAATTATAGTGAACTTTTAACCTATAAACATTTCATTAAATGACAAACCAGAAGACCCGCCCAGAAGCCAACCCGTGAAACCACAGAAAGTCCTAACCTCTTTCAATCATTAAAACTAAAAGTTGAAATCTGGAACGAAACAGGGGACCAAATCATCAATTCGTTACCACATCCATATCGTTATTTCATGCCCCCAAAATCAGCCTTGAAAAAACGAATAAGGTGGTACACGTGTTGAATTGTGAAATAAAAAACAGAACAGGCAACCATCTACCCCTCACCCCCTAGAATCAGCCTTTTCTACATTTTTTTGGGGGGGTTCCTCAACACTTCCTGGCAAGTCTTTGAAGGTATCCTTTGAAGACCCCCTGTATTGTGATCCTTGTTTTTTGGGGTTTGCGTGTTTTGGCTGTATCCTTTTTCAGAACTTTGTTTTGTGAAGGTTCCATATTTTTCAGACGCCCCTAGAAAGGGGGGGAATTCTTCTTGGGCACGGCTTCTCCGCACTTCGACTGGACCGCGACTGCGGCATGCGGAGGTCTGGGGGACGCGGCAAATCTCACAGGCTTCAGATGTGACCATGGATACGACCATAGAGGAGGCGCGGGACAGGAACAGCGGATTTGGGGGACGGGTTAAACCCCAGTTTGCTTAAACGCGGGGGGTGTCGATTCTCATTCTGGAATCCTTCACTTTAAGGGGACACTTTTTATTAGTCGGATGGCATTAAGCCGGGGTCATGGTTATGTTTGCTGTCATCTTGCAAGCGAATGGAGGTGACCCTGTCAGTTGGTTTTGGCTGTGAGTGTTGAGCGCTCGAGCCTCGAGATTTGGGCCTACCCTCTTGGCGTGATTGGGATTGTAGCAAGGCCTAGACCAATCTTACCAAAAGTTTGAACCCGGGATCCGTTAGTGTCCATAGCCCGCAAATGTGTGTTTTCAGCAACGGCAACGCCTTAGTCTGCTGGGAAGCCAAACAGAAGTAAGGGAAACATTGGAGGAGTCCGTGTCCAACTTCAAGGCTCCCAAGAAAGCTGTGTTTGGGGATTTCTTTTCCCCCTGAAGGGGTTCCAATTCGTTCTCGGAGAGCAAATCCATTTGGTCGCCCTTTTGCTTGCAAATGCAGAAGTCCAAGACCTTGTCTTGGTTTTTGGAAGCCAAGAGGTTGTTTAAGCCATACTCTTGCACCAAAAGTCAATGGGTGAAACAACAGTCGATGCCCGGATCACTAACTTGCAGCCACCCAAATATCCGTCACAGTTGCTGGTAACAAAACAACAGAAACACAAGAGCAAACACACAACACACAATAACTGAAATAAAAAACACACAAAAAAAATAAAAGAAAAACGAGACAACGCGACTGGATCGCTCCAGGTGGTTTTGGTTTCTTCCCAAAACTGCTCGCGCAGATCACCCGCATTGACTCGAAAACGGCGCGGGTGAGCTTCGACTCCGCCGCCGCCTTCCTCTCGACGGCGCAAAGCTCGCGCACGGCTTCGAGGGAAAACCCTCGGCAGCCGAGCCTCGGTCGGCAGTGGGGCGGTCGGGGGGTGCCAGCGTGCGATGCGTGGAGGGTGGTTGGACAGAAATTCTATTTGATTCTTGTGCCGAGCTCACCGATTCGGGGGTAGGACGCGCTGACCATGATAGAGGTCCTTTACTTGAAACTATCGTAAAAAAATGCAATCCTGAGGTCCAGCAAGTCTTCAATGAATAATCATAGCCTATAGCACAGATCCCATGAAAACCACCAGGCTTCGGAAAATGCCTGGCTTAGCTTTCTTTTGTATGGGAGTCTACTTCCCCCTGTTTGGTCTTCCCCTTTGCCCCCGAGGCCTGAAGGAATTCATTTGCCTTCATTCCGCCTTCCCATTCGGAGTCTTTTGGGTCTCCATGTGTCTTTTCGCCAATCTGCCGCTCAGTGCTACACTTTCGCTGGGCTCTCCAGTTGCCCAAAGCCAATCGACCCAGATTTTGGCCTCGTTTCCCCTTTGTGGTCCTAGGGTCCCCAGAGGCGGTCACCTCACCTTTTTCTGTGTCCCAACATGTCCCAACCGGGCTGAGACGGCTCGCCGAGCTGGGATTCCGACGCCTGGAAACCGCCGGACCGGACGTATTGGATGGTAGATGTATGTTATTCTTTTGGTTACCAAAATTGCGTAAAGCGAACATGTAATACATGAGATGTCACATAAAGTGTTTCATGTGCCACGCCTGTACAGCCATGTCAGCAGAAGGGTGGAACGGCCGCAGCTCAATTTGGAGGCAACTTCCTTCCGCCAAACCTTTCCGGCCACGCTGGTAGAACCCAGTCAATTCTCAGCGGGTCTACACCCCTCGGACCTCTCTTGGGTCCAAGTCCCGAGGGCCCCGAGCCAAGGGCGCGACCCCCCACGCACCCCTCCCTCCCCCCGGTGCCGCGCCCCGCGCGCAGCCAGCGAGGCTTTGGGTGAAGTCGGAGTCGGAGGTGTCTGGAATGATCAGCTCCCCGCCGCTTGGGAACAGGGCCAAGGGAGGGGTGGCGGGTGGGGGATACATGGGTTGGTTTACTTAGCGGTTCCCAGGCATCCGCTTCCGTAGCTTTTGAGTTTTTTGTTTACCCCACTGAAAATTCAGCTTCTAGCGGGGGATCTGAGGACAGCCCAGACACGGGAGTTGATCAACAAACTTCCCTCGGTCCGCAAATGGCCATGGGTAACCGTTCACGATCTTTTGAGGGGGTGAGTCGTATTTTTCGAGGGTTTCCCCAATGGTCATCTCATGTCAAGGACCTTTTGATCAAGCCCCACATGCTCACCAAGGGGAGACCAACCCAGGTGAGGAACTGGTTTTCTTGCAAGGATGCAGTTTGAGTCCCATTTAATGGTATGTTTCTTACGAGTTCTGATGGGGCGAGCGGTTTTTCTTTCGGAGTTGGTACCTTTCTCCAGCTTGGAAAGCCGCTGTTTTTTTGGGGATTCGTTTGAGCGCTAGTTGAAGGCAAAAGGCCCCCCTACTTTGACACCCCTGATAGCTCTCTACGAAAGCTTTGTCAACCACGTCAAGCCCAAGTCCAACATGCAGTTAGGACTTTCAGAGTTTGGAGCTGGATGAATTTCATATCCCACTAAAAGTTCAAGGGATGAACGAACCACACGATTTTTCCCAAATAGATTTTAGATGTCTTTTGACAAGTTTTCAGTTGGGTGAAAGTAGATGGGCTCACCCTGTGCAATGGCTTTACTGCAATTTACTTTGGAATAAAGCGATTTTCTGCACGATAATGCCATCTTTCACCCTGCAAAATCTGAGGGCTCAAGAGACTTGTCGGGACGTGGGGAAGTTGGCATTTGGTGAACCAAGGGCCGGACGCTGGGGCGTCTGGGTCCCTGACGGGTTTTGGCTTGGCTTCGGAATCTTTTGGTCCCAAGTTCCTTGGGCTTTTGAAGCGCTCCGGGATAAGGAAACCACCCAGTGGATGGTTCAGCTCGGGGTCACCAAAATTACGCGCAATTCAGGTGGCTACAAGTGCAGAGGTGCTGCAACAACCATGGGGGTAATTTGGAGGATGTATTTTGGTAAGCAGGCAGCAAAGCAGTTCTTCAAACCGGCAAGGGGGAAGGTTCAGTTTGACAACGCAAGTAAAGTCCTGGACATCAGATTCTCACTTGCCCCAAGACTGACCTGATCTGACCTTTCCGTGTCTCGTTTTTGGCCAATTTTGGGTGGCCTCATTTGGGGTGGATTGCCAATTTCGGGGTCCGAAGAGGGCTGCCGACCTTTTGGCCTTTCGACATTTTAGTTCTGTTTTGCTCATGGCCCCGAAAGCTTTTACTCCTCAACGGAGGATTTACAGGATACCCTTGTAAAGGTGGGATTGTTTCTTTCGGATGGGCTATTTTACGGTCACCGGAAGGTCTTCTCCAAAACTGGGGAGGTCTGCGATGAAAAATCCAGGGGTTGAGTGGTTCCCAGTGGGATGAGCCCCAAGAATCCCACAACATACAGTAGATGTTGCCAGGGATCCAGAGGTACGAACTCAAACCTGGTTCCGGGTTCCAAAAGCAGATTCTGGGTGCGAAAGCGGTTTGAAGCCAGCTGGGCGCAAAGTAGCGAATAGAATGCGGCTTCGCACCCAACAAAAAGGGCCCCTGTGTGAAGCAAGACTGTAAACCACAATCCAGGGGTTCCCTCTCAAACGCCTAAAAACTCTCCCGGCAGGCCGTCCAACCACCTCAAAAGTCAACCTTGTTTTGCAGGATGCCAAGTGAAGCAACTTTGCGTGATACCAATCAGAGTCCGGTTCGCTAGAAAGCTTGACAGAACCACACCTGGATGCGCCGAGTAAGCAAGCCTCAAGGTTCTTTGGTACCTTGTGAGAATGTACTCTGCCGTTTTTTTGGTCTTTCGGGAGTATCTGGGTAAGTGGCTAGCGACCTTGGATATATACATATATATATATATATATATATATATATGGCCCACTAGGTTAACAACATCGCTCTAGCTTTCCTTTGAAGCAACCCCAACTCCGGGAAAGAACACAGCTGATCTTTGGTGGGACCGGATTTCCCATGAAATCGACCTTCTTCCCGGGAAAGAGTAGCAAACCCATTTTGACATCCCCCAAAAACAGTACGGAACCCCAGGCTCTCTGCGCATTTTTGGGAAACGTATCTGGAGCCTGACACTGTTTGCAAATGAGATGATCCTTTAAGAGACCTACGGAAAGTGGTAGTTTGGGAAGCCCATTGGTAAATGGTGGGTTTCCGGTTCCAAGTGTGCCTCTACTGAAAAGGGGTCATGGACCCCATTTTCGAAGGGTCCCAAGGAGACTCCAGGTACCCTCTCTCCAATGAAAGTGGCCTCTCCAAAAGGAAAGTAGAAACCAAAACCCTTAAACACCATCCAACTGGTGCTTTCCTTTGAGGGGACCTCTGGGTTCATTCCCACATTCTCCCTGAACGCCAGCGAGATAGACTTCAACCCAGGGCTTCTCCGTTTGGGTTCTGTGAACCATCCCCGGGTTGAAGTCTGGGGTAGTGGGGTGACATCCTCTGGAAAGTATCAAAGGGTTGGGTTTCCGGAGATTCTACAGTTGAAAACAGCTTTTTCGGGTGTTTTGGGGCCATTAGATTTTCCGGCAACCCCACCCCACCCCACCCCTCACCTCACCCCACCCCACCCCACCCCAAACCCTTTGGTTCGTAGAAACCACACGCCTGGTGTCAGCTTCGAGGCCGCTCAGCCCCTTGCGCCTTCCGCCTTCGCTGGCACGGATCCACGACGCCTGGGATGGCGACTTCGAGAACCGCCGCATGACCGCCGCGACATGTTTTTTGTTGTTGGTCGTCCTTCCTCGTTTTTTCTTTTTTAGAAGAAGAAAAGCAACAACCATCAACAAACCACACTTTCTTGTCTTAAAAATGGTGTTTTTTTCCTTGTGGGTTGCCTTTAAACCCACAAGACAAAAATGGGGTTCCCTCAAGAGAGCACACACACACACACACCATCCAATGCGCTCAAATCCCAACACACAAATCCAAGTCCGTGTGAGTCTTCCCCAACAAAACGTGATTGGAGGGTGAGATTTTGCGGGTTGCTGGATTCCCACTCCGCTTGTGATCTAACTCTACCTCAGGTTGTACAGTTATTCCAAACATTGCAGATGAACTCAGAAAGGGAGCCCGCTTTTTCGGTTCGTTCTCTTAACTTGCAGGATAATATACGAGCTGTCAACGTCCGTCTTCTGGGGTCATGGGTCACACACCAAGTTACAACTCGGAAATGGGGGTTCACCCAAAGGTGGTTTAACAGGACACCAAAAGGACCACCACAAAGTTGTTTTTTTTGGGGGGAAGGTCCCCTAAAAAGTCACGCCCGAAACGCGAAGTACACCAAGTTTTTTGTAGATGGTACAGTTCCTGTTTGGCCAACTACATAAATAACGCGGATTGCGTTCCATATCTCCCCAGTTCAGGCACATAAAATCCTATATGAAAGGCTTGTACCATCCACCCTCCCTCCAACTAACATGGCAACTGACAGGGGCTCCCTTCAAAAGGACATGAATGCTCCAGGTACCTTTTTCCAGGTGGCATGTTACGAGGAAGGCGACCCTTTCCCCCGATACCTCGGCTCGAATTCGAGTTCGGAGGCAAGACCAGCCACGACCCCTCGCGGCGCCTGAAGAAGATCAGCACCTCCCGGGCCGAAGCGAGGCCCAGCTGCTTGGTGCTGAGGCGCGGGGTTTTCAAAACCGCGGGGCGGGGGGGCAAACGAAAAACCGGCGGAGTCGCAAAATTCTGGGCCCAAGGGATCTTCTGAAAGGATCTTCGGTTCTGTTTTGGGGATGTTCCAATCCTTGGCCCTTCCACGGCCCCCTTCCCCCCGAATTGTCATGCTCAGTCAAGGTCGAAGCCCCCCTGCCCCCCTGGATGGGTGGGGTCCTTGGTCCTTGGTCTTGCACTCCCCTGAACCTGGATCGACACCATTGGGGGTGGGGGGGCTGGGACGACGGGCGACGGGATCAAAAAAATCCCTGGCCATGACTTGGAAGGTGAGTGTTGAGAGATCACTTTGGACCCAGAACAGGAAGAAGCCCCCTTGTTTTCCGGGGCCGCTTCATGTTTTGTTGCTTGCGTGATTTCTGATTTCTTGCACCGGCCTTGTGGATTTCTTTGGACTTCTTGCGGAGTTTTTGGCTATTCTCTATTGTTACATAGAGCCGGCGAAGCCGGTGGTCGGACGTTTCTGCAACATAAAAGCTCTAGGCCTGTTCTTCGTCGATTTCTTCTTTTGTTTTATCTTCTTCTTTCTTTCCTTCTTTCTTTTCATTGTTCCTTTTGTTTACACGTTTCCTTCTTTTTCTTTCGTTCGTTCTTTCTTCAATTCTTTCTTTCTTTCTTCAATTCTTTCTTTCTTTCTTCAATTCTTTCTTTCTTTCTTTCTTCCTTTCTTCCTTTCTTCCTTTCTTCCTTTCTTTCTTTCTTTCTTTCTTTCTTGGTTTCTTTCTTGGTTTTTGCCTTTGTGGCTCGGTGGATTCTGCGCAAAAGCAAAGGTCAACCCCAAAACTGGCAGGAAACCAAAGGCCCCCTCACCGCAGGAAAGATTCTTGGATCGTTCTTAGAAGGGGTTCTTCACGAAGGGTTCTTAGAACCTTTCTGGGAGAAGAACGGCGGCCTTCATCACTCTCACCAAAAGGTTTCAACTGCTTTGGCTACCTGTTGGGTCACTGATTGCGACTAGGTTGAGTTGTAGTTGCCTGGTTCCAATCATTTTTCGTTCGGGTCGGTGGTTGCAACATGTTTCAACTAGGTTCAGGTAGCGCTTGATTGGTGGATTGGAATGGTGGTTTGGATTTGGATTTGACCGCCTGGCCATTGTAGAGGGTAAATGGCAACCTCCAAATCTCCAAACAAATCCAAACCACCAATCTGAGGGAAGCTGACTATTTCCTCAGCTGCCAAAGCGGGCCTTTTGACCGTTTGGTTTTCCAATGGTGGGTTCCCATTTTTACTTTGGTGCATGTTGCTTGGATGTTAGGACTTTAATTTTTTTTGCCAACTAGTGAGTTTTCCATTAAACCACTAAAAGTTAGACTTTTAGCAGGGGAGCAGAAAGCAACCGAGTTTAGTCATGCTCCCAAAAGGTTAGCGTGAACCCATGTCCGCGTTCGAATCGAGTGTCGCGTGAAGAGGCCGAATAGCGCGCTTTGCCTGATCTGGGATGTGGTGTGCCTGCTCGCCACCATGCACGACAGCGTGATGATTCCTCTGCTCTCGGCTTCTTGAACAAAATACACATATGAGTCACAATCAAAACCCGGGTAGTTGGAGAGTAGTAAGGGGCAATTTCAGCCATAAGTTGTTGTGGCAGATATGGCTAGACTTCATGAGCTTGGCTTTTTGTAACTTTTTGCCTTTCTGGCAACATCTTCCCTTTCCAGCAACATGCTACGTCACTTCTTGCCGTTGGATCAGCAACTGGTGAAGTAAAGAATCCCCCACTTTTTACCGTGCAGGCTTGCTGCGGTTTGCCCACACAACTTGGCTTGCCACAAGAATAATGTGTCCAAACGAGGGTTGGGTGGGACAGTTCCCTATATTCCCCTTTGTGGTTTTGAACATCACCTAGTGGGAACTTCCTTGAGGGGTGATGTTTTACAGGTTTGCGTTTAAGTACAGGGTCCTTGGATGTTCCTTTCAGCTGCTTTAAGCATCACCCAATGGGCACTTGTAGATGAGTTTGCTCCTGGCGATGATGTTGAAGGGGCAATGTTTCAGTAGTCCCTTATTTGGGGGTTGGGATTGGTGGTTTAGGGATTACTCCTAGTTCTTGGAGAGGGTCGATGGGAAACTCCGATCCAACCAAACCGCCCAATAGGAGGACGCTGATTGTTTCACCAGGTCTCCCTTTGACGCCAGCCAAGATTAACAACAATTTGATATTTTTCTGTGGGTTCCCTTCAAGTCAAGCACGGCTCTTCCCTTCTGTTTCTTATGTGGGGTTGCCTTGAAAGCCAACGAAGCCTTTTGCCGCAATTCTCTCTTCCATTTCTTCGTTTTCCAGCTTCTTGTCCTGTATTATCAACATACAGCACCTTTTGGCTTTTCTTAACGTAGCTTTCTTCTTTCTCTTTTTCTCTACATCATGTGCATCTTCTTTTTCTTGTTTGTTTTTGCAGGCTGTTTTTTTATTGTCACGTGTTTCGAAATGTTGTTTCCGATTCTTGCGTTTCTCCATCTTGTTTTCGTTTGTTGCAGTTTCCCATGTTGTTTCTGTTCGGTGTTCCAGACCCCAGTGGCACCCCTTCCTCGTTTTTTGGAGTCAAAATCTTCCCCAAAAAGCGATGCCCTGCGTTTTTTTTGCACGGAAATCCACTGAGGGCCTGGGGCGCTGTTTCTTTTCCGAGCTGCCCGCCCGCCCGTCCGGCCGGTCCGGAGGCCTTCGAAATCGACCCCTCGGGGTGGCCGGAGATCATGGCGGCGGTGAGCGGCGCGGTGTGGCTGCTGGATGTGTTCCTGGCCTTCTTCCGGGGGTTCCTGAACATCCGCACAGGCGCCACGGCTTTTTTGGGGCACGATTTTTTTTTGCAGACCCGAGCCGAATGGGAGGCGGTGGCACCAGCTTCCAATTGGAAACCCACAGGCAAAAAATAAGCTCCGCACCCTCCCAGAATCCTCGCGGAACCCGTCCCGGGACCCACCTCACCGCCGGTTTTGCTGAGGATGCCGCCTAATAACTTTATAAGCAAAGCTAAGAGTGACAGCGCAATCACGCCCTGATCGGGGCCCGACGGCGCAATCGGGGCCCGATCGGGGACCGACGGTGCAATCGGGGCCCGAGCGGGGCCCGACGGTGCAATCGGGCCCTGACCGGGGTTTGATAGCGGGCTCCCACCAACCCCAGCCACCCATATTATAGCTCAACGCCGGTTTTCCTTAGGATGTGGCCTTACAACACTATCTAGCACAACTAGGCGATGCCAGCTTGGCACAGTGCCCCACTGAGTCGGGCCCAATCGGGGCCGATCGGGCCCCGACGGTGCAATCGGGCCCGACGGTGCAATCGGGCTTCGGCGGTGCAATCGGGCCCCGCCGGTGCACCCATGGAAAAAATGGAAAAAACCACCATGAACAACTCATGACAACCCCACCATGAGAAAATGGGGACCCATGAAAAACCCCACTTCCCCCCGAGCATAGGGGGAGGGTGGGGGGTTCCCCAACTCCATATGGAATTCCAGGGGTCACCCGGTCACCCCCCTCCCCCAAGTCCATATTTCATAGTTAACGGCTGGGGATGTTCGGACGTTCGAGCTCAGTGGATGGAGTCCGGAGTTCAGCCGGGCAGACCCCATTTAGATGATGACAATCCTTAAACACTTGTTGTATCACACGGAAACAAACTTATTTGTTTAAGACGGCGAAACAAGTTGGGTTGGACCATTTTAGTGTCAGGCCCAGTGAACTTCGCAAACCGTCCTCGTGGAGCCCGCCCAAAACTCAGCGTGGTGGAATCCTTGTGGAGCGTTTTCGGAACCTTACCCCATAGCCCTCGCAGCCTCGTGGAACCCTAACCCAAAGCCCACCAAGTAATACTCAGTAATGCCAAGCATTTACTCTGCTGCACAGTGAGTCCCGCAGCAACGTTGAGAAAGTGAGCAAGTCAAAACAGTGAAGATGTGCTGAAAACCCTTGATTTCAGTTTTGCTTAGTGTTCCGCCCACGGGCAAAGCGAGCCCTCAATTTATGTTCAGACGGCGCTTTTGTGAAACCTTGTGGAGCCTTGTCGAAGCCTTGTGGAATCCCTGTGGAACTCTGTGGAACCCGGTGCAACCTATGTGACGCAGAATGTGGTGGAACCCTAATAAAAACCCTGGTGTAACCCTCATGGAACCTTACCTCAGACCATCGCAGACCATCCCGCAGCCCTCGCAGAACCTGGTGGTACAACCCTCATAAAACCTTGCCTTGCAGAACCTGGTGGAACCCTGGTGAACCGTGGTGGAAACCTTGGTGGAATGCTGGTGGAAGCCTCGGGGAAGCTTACCTCAAACCCTGAACCCTGGTGGTGGAACCTTACCCGGACCACGGAGCCCTTGCAGAACCTGGTTGGAACCCCCATTCCGACAAACTACACGCTGATTGATTGATTGATTGATTGATTGATTGATTGATTGATTGATTGATTGATTGATTGATTGATTGATTGATTGATGGATGGATGGATGATGATTGATTGATTGATTGATTGATTGATTTGATTGATTGATGGATGGATGGATGGATTGATTGATTGATTGATTGATTGATTGATTGATTGATTGATTGATTGATTGATTGATTGATTGATTGATTGATTGATGGATTTGATGGATTTGATTGATTGATTGATTGATTGATTGATTGATTGATTGATTGATTGATTGATTGATTGATTGATTGATTGATTGATTGATTGATTGATTGATTGATTGATTGATTGATTGATTGATTGATTGATTGATTGATTGATTGATTGATTGATTGATTGATTGATTGATTGATTGATTGATTGATTGATTGATTGATTGATTGATTGATTGATTGATTGATTGATTGATTGATTGATTGATTGATTGATTGATTGATTGATTGATTGATTGATTGATTGATTGATTGATTGATTGATTGATTGATTGATTGATTGATTGATTGATTGATTGATTGATTGATTGATTGATTGATTGATTGATTGATTGATTGATTGATTGATTGATTGATTGATTGATTGATTGATTGATTGATTGATTGATTGATTGATTGATTGATTGATTGATTGATTGATTGATTGATTGATTGATTGATTGATTGATTGATTGATTGATTGATCCCTTTGACGACCAAGATGAACAACCAGGGTTCCACCAGAATTCCACCGCGGCTGACCATACAGGTCTCAGCCCAGATCTGAGGTAAGTTACCAGGGTGCTACCAGGGTTCCGTTCCACCATGGTTCCACCACAAAAGCCTTTTTTCCCTCCATGGAGAAGCATCATGAGGCAATATAAAAGAAAGCGTGGGGGTAAAGGGTGTGTTTTTTGAGGACACCTTGTTTTTTTGTGGTCTTAAACGAAAGCAACAAAAGCAGGTCGCTGGACCGGTCAACCCTGGAGGCTGTAAATTGGGGAACAATGGGTAAGCGCGCAACACGGGTGCTTTTCCTGAAGCAGCCTTACTGTCGAGGTAAAAGTACATGGCGTGCAATTGTAATCTATCATGGGTATATGACGGGGTTTCCGGAACGATGCGGGCTAGATGATCAACGTTCATTTGGAGAGGACTTAGCAGGTCGGCAACCATGGCTATGGATCCCACACCCCCTTTTATTCCATTGAACAACTAAGGGGAACCAACAAGCAAACCCTAGTGGGGGCTCAGTTGAGGCTGGTCATTTGGGGGTTTCTCAAAATGGAACCCGGAAAAACCCTTGTGTCAACCATTCCAGCAGACCAATTCCTGTTTCGAGAACCCCCCATCGCATATCCCCCCCCCCCCTGACGCCAATTGCAGGCTTTGTGGAGATGCGGCTGCCGCAGATCGCCTTCCACTACCTCACCGGGTGGTTTGTGCCGGACATTGCTCTCCTGTCCTTGGATGGCCTCGCCGCTCTGCTTTGGGCTCGAAGGGTGCGAGGTTCTGGGGGTTTTGGCAAGCGGCTCAACGCAGAAAGCAAAGACAGCAACACACACACAAGAATGTTGTGGCTGTGGTTTAGAGGTCAAGACATTATCATTTTGAAATGCCTGGAAATGTTGACTTTACTGAAATGTCACTGTCGAACTTCTGCTCATGAGTGCATGTGAGCTCTTGCTGGCACGTTTGCGCTTGGAGGCCTCAAACCCGGGACCCCTTGATGTGGGCCTGACAACGTCCGGTTTGGCACTTGCCAAATGCAGTGATAATTGTGGGATCAATATCAAATCAGTCAATCTGCAACAGTGAGTTGGGATCTTGTAAGAAACTTGGCAAATCACACCAAGAAACAATGCACACACTTGACTGCAAGCTGAAAACCATCAATGGGCACACAGCCCCAATGTCTATTAGTGAAGGTGCAACCAGCCTCCTTCCAAAGAGGATGCCTCCTTCTCAGGAGGCTTGCCATGGCCTGATAAAATCACATGGATCCAAATGCACACAGACCAAGTCAAGTCAAACCACAGTCTACCTCACAGCCAGCGCTGCAAGGCGCTTACAACCAGCAACATACTTGAACAGTGGCTACAAGTCTGATATTCTGAGGCCCTGGCTGGCATGGCGAAGTCCACAAGGATTACATCTGAGTTCCTAGCACCTTGCAATGGGTATCAAAGATGCAGACATGCCAAAAAGACAAACAAATGCATCTTTGATCGCAAGTCAATCTAAGACCATACCAATTAAGCCTCCTGCCAAGGAGGCAGTCCTTCTAAAAAAACAAATCCTCCTACCAAGGAGGCCTTTTGTCTGAGGAGGTGTCCAAGCACGCTCCTACACCCCAGACATGTTTGGCAAGATGCAACAAACATGGCAACTTGACCAGGCAAACAAGTTTGAGCACATCTGCCATGCATTTTCCCATCCAACACGCTCGAGGATTCCACGGTACCGTGATCTGATCTGGCCACTCAAGCATCTGCCTGGTCAGGACAAGCATCTTGCACAATTTGCAAAACCGTAAAAAATAAAGCCGGCCTTGTTCTCCGACGGATCTGCTGCGGGCTTCTCGGGCTTCTTGAAAGTATCGCCTTCCTGCAGGGTAGATTCACACAAAACAAAGGACACTCCAAAAAAACATGGCAAATCAATGTGATCTCTCAAGGCAGTCCTTGGCCAGCCGGATGGCCTTTGCCACTGCGCTGGGATGCCCAGGTCCAACCCACCATTCACCTTCAAAGAATCAATCTGAGCTTCCAACCAAGGGAGGAAGATGATGCGGCCCGGGCAGGGTACCAGTGGGCAGTGAAGGAAAAAAGGCAGCCGAGCTCTTGAGCGCCAGCATTAAGATGGAGAGAAGTGCCGATGTCCCTTTGGAGACAAAATCCTACTATGCGAAGTGGGCTTTGCAGGAGGCCAAAGGAAGGGACGAAGCTCAGGAGAAAGCAAAAATGCTTGGGAAATCCGCAGAGGACTTCAAAGAGCTAGCAACTCTGCACCCATGGCGTGCTGGTGGAAAGGAGCGCCAGCAGGGAAAGAAAAAGCAGCCGGTGGTGGTGGCTGCAGCTGCTGCAGCTGCTGCAGCTGGGAAGCAGAGGTGGCCACAGCTGAGAAGCAGCCCGAAGAGGTGGCCACTGAGGCTCAGCAGGATGCAGTTGAAACTCAGCAGGGCGCCTTTGACAGCTGGCAAAGATCCTACTGGGGGACAGGTGCTTGGGCGCGCGACCACGGCTGGGAGGAAGAGCCCGCGAAGGGTAAAAAACACAAGGGACGGAAACAACCTCTTGCTGCTTCTTCCAAGATGCGGTTTCTTCCTCACTGCTGCAAACCTCTTCGATGACGATTTGTTTCGTCTCGTCCGAATCCTCGAGGTCCTCCTCCTCCATCTGGGCCCACTCCTCGGTGAGGTGCCTCTGGTAAACCGCATCACTGAATCCGCTCTGACGCCAGGACTGCGGCGTCCAACATTCTTCACTCAATCCCTTCTTCCACATAGACAAGGAGGGCTGTTGGCGCATGTAGTACTGGCTGCACAACAAATTTGCGCATAGTGACCCTCTGAGATACGACTTCGTCTTGCATGCCCTGCAAAACCGAAGGTCTAGCAAGGCCTCGTTGCCCAAATCAGATCCCTTCCAAGCCCGGATCGGGCCTTTCCACTCTTTGCCATAGCCGCTCTTGCTACTTCCAGCCATGAGTATGCAAGCTGCCTGACTGTGACCATATCATGCAATCATATGCTGACATGCGTGTCATCCATGCCATATCCATAGCCACTTGAGCTCAACAATATCTGCCAACAAGCGCACATGTGTCTTGCAAGCAACATGGCCAAAACATCTCAAAACAAAGCAATGAACAAAGAGCTCGTGCGCAACCCTGTCTCCTCCAAGGAGACTTTGGGCCGGCAGATGCTGGCATCATCACCTGCAGACTAAGTCAGAGCATGCATGCTTGCGGCAACTGCACTTGAACATTTCCTCCTGCCAAGGAGGATGGCCTTCACAAAGAAACTTCCTGAAGGGTCAAGTCCTGGCCATGCACAAGAAGATCTGGCAACCTTCGACGCGGCCTGCACAAAAGAGATCCAGCTACCCTCCTGCCAAGGAGACCTACACCATGCACAAGGCACAAGTGACATCAACAACTGCATATTCACTGCATGCTTGCCAGCAAAGTCCTGAAAGGTTGCACACATAAAAAATGGCTGCGGTCCAAACGCTCATGCAATGCACAAACACACAAGGTCATGCAACTCAACAACCCCCAAAAAAATCTTGCAAACAATTCATGCTGCTCAAAACGTCATGCAAATCCAAAAATCAAACGGCATGGTCTGCGCGGGCAGGCCTTTTTGTTGCGATCCAGTTTGTTTGTTCAAATGCAATATGTTCACTCCAAAGTTGGTACAGCGTCCTTCTCGTCCCTTAGTGTGTCCTTGATTTGTTCAAGGCACTGAACCCAGCAGTCCGTGATGCTGCTGTGCTTCGACCAGCTGTACTGCCCCTTGCAAATTTCTGGCTTCTTTACATAAAAAGCTTTGCACCTCATGAGAACATCTACACTCACGTCAGTGTCCCCAATCACACACTTGACGGTGTAAGAGTGCAGGCCTGCGCATTTGGCAGGCGGCAATGCCTCCTTCGGCATGCCAGCTAGAGGGTAGCCATTCCATGACTCCAGAAAAGCGGCTGCTGGCAACTCCTGGCTGCTCTCGCCGGATTTGTCTGCGCTCTCGCTGGATCACAGCAGCCTCTGCCTCCTTTCCAGCAGGCTCTGCGGCTTGCTTCGCACAGGTGATGGCGGTCAAGCGCAAGTGCCGGGTCGCGCCCAGCTTAGTGCATGAACCTAAGCGGCAGCCCTGCGGCTCTTTGAATGGATTGCAGCCACAGGCGAGGAACTGGAGGTGGAGCAGTGGCAACAGGAAGGATGCATGCGGCTGAGGCGTTGGAGAATCCTGTGGTGGAGGCTGGAAAGCAGGAGGGGCTGAAGTGGATCAAGAGCAGCAAGCTGCACGATAAGGTGGATCGCAAAGAGGTTTTGGAGACACACAATCTGAGATGTCGGTTACTCTCTCTGTAGAGAGGTTTCTCGAACTGCGATATAATGCAGCTACAGGGCTTCTCCCCGTAAGTTGCCACAGGAGGACTTGAGGATGCGCTGCAAGCACCCCTTCGCGAGCTTAGCCGTGCACGCCTCGTCTACGTCGGCATTTAAGTCTCTGGCCTCATCGGCTGCCATTGTGGAGGCTTCTGGTGCACAGGAACCCGCGCGCAAACCGCTCGGCGCCAACCTCCTCCCACAAACACACCGCACCCTTGACGTCCGTGTAGATAGACCATCGTGCAGCAACGCACAAAGGAAGGCTTCTCTCACCGCTGAGCCGAGAGCTAGGCAGCCGTCACCCACTGCAGCAGTTGTTTGGCCGCGAAGCCACCGCACCATGGCCTGACCACTCTGGTCGCGCAAGGTGCTTCAACAACCCAAAGCAGAGTCCGCCTCTCCGCGTGCGTCAAAACTCCCCATGCATTCAGGCGAACCTCACGAAGCTTGTTCGACGCCCCTGGTCCCCAACTTCACCGTGCCCTGCGCCCTGGCGAAGTTGATGACCTTGCCAAGCACGAGGTGGTCAACTCGAGCCCTCAAGCGGAGTGCTGGCATGGAGCAAGCCGCCGGATTCATGTATGTTGCAGCCGGCAGCAGAGCCGAGGCGTTCCGTGTCCCGTAAGTGCCATGCCTGATGGCAGGCCAGCTCGGACGCATGTGGCTGCTGTAACATGCAGCAGAGCGGAGGCGATCCGTGTGCCGCAAGGGCCATGCCTGAAGGCAGGCCAGCTTCATGGTGGCGTCCAACTTGACAAACTACGAGCTCGAAGGGTGCGAGGTTCTAATGGCTTTGCGCTGGAAACGTCTTTAAACCACCTCTAAACGGCAGCCACAGCTTTCTCGTGCGTGTTGGTGTTTTTGCTTTCTGCGCGCATTTTTGAGCCGCTCACCAAAACCCCCATCATTTTGACAATGCCTGGAAATGCGGACTCTACAGATGTCAATGGATACATCCAAAAGCCACTTGGTATACAAGGATTTGGTTCCTCTAAGTAAGCTGGTATTTGGGTGATCTTTTTGACTGGCCCAGATGTATCCTGTAAGGGACCCTGCAAAAAGTGGCAGGCGTCTTTCTGGCTTCCAGAGCACTATCCGAAAGTATAATCAAGCCGGGTCTAGGGTCATCAATACCTATTTGGTCTTTTTCATTCTGCCTCCTTTGGTTGAACGTCTTTTGGAGAACGAACACAAAGCTGCTCGCAAATCCTGAAATAGAACGAACGATCTTATATGACTCCCCGTTTTTTTGGGTTAGACCTACCCCTTGTTTAACGCTGTTTACAGGGACAAATTTAGCACCAGTCGGTGGGTGCTCTATCCCAGTATCTGTGGGGTTTCATCATTTTGCCCAGCCAACGTTATTATGAGGTATGTGTCAAATTATTGGGAATGACTGGCTTGCCTTGAAACCAGTCTAAAAAGGGTACCCTCAATCAAACACACTACCTTTTCCACGCACCGGACTCAGCAATTTCCCCATGTCTTGGGGAAACAACCTTCGGTGGTGGTTTTTCTTTTGGTTTCCTTGAACACCACGAAAACAAAGTAGATATATATATATATATATGTATTTATACATATATATATATATATCCTGGACGCGGGACGGACACGTGTATCCCCTGAGGCGATGTTTATGCAGGACCAGCAGACCTTAGAGTCGCTCACGCTGCTTCGGCTCTTCCGGAACCTGCGCTTGCTGCGACTTTTGAAGATGACCGGGCGACTTTCCTTGCTCCGAGAGGCAAGGCATTGGGGGGGTCGGAGGGGGGGTGAGGTGTTCCCAGTGCTCCCTACTTGGGTGTTCAGCCAAGTTGGTAAGTTGTTGGTAAACCAGGATACAACCGCTTTTGAGTCCCCCATTCAGTGGGGTTTGCCTTGCTTGTTGTTTGTTTTTGAAGCGGCTCACAACTTGCTATCTTGCCAACGAACATCTAAGGGTTGTTTCCTACGGACTTTTTAAACACGAGTAGTTTCTGAATGGGGTACCGAAGCATTTTTTCCTTCGAGATGATCATGTTCAAACAATGAGGCCGAACAGCGTGTGTGTGTGTGTGGTGTGTGTGTGTGTGTGTGTGTGTGTGTGTGTGGGTCTCTGTGTGCGTGTATGTCTCTGTGTGCGTGCGTGTGTGTCTGTGTGTGTGTGTGTGTGTGTGTGCGTGCGTGTGTGTGTGCGTGTTGAAATGTTCCGCCCCAAGTGGGGTTGTGTTAGTCTCCTGCGGTGAAGTTTTTGCAGAGTTTTTCCAGGTCAGGGTGCAGTGCCGGCAGGGAATAGCCCAAAAGGGGTTTCTTGAGGAGTTTTTGGGTTCCTTTGGGTTCCTGGGTTTCTTAGGATTCTTCAGCATTCCTTAAGATTCCCTCAGGCCCAGGTTCGCCCCCTTGGTCTCGCAACTGCATGGCTCGAGAGCGTAGTGTTCCCTCCTCGCTGCCCTTGGTGGCTTTTTGGAACGCGACCCTTTGTTTTATCCTCTTTTATTTGCGTCATGATATTTTGCCTTTTTGTTGATATTTCATGGAACACCGTTTATTTGTTTGCTCGGGGCCGAAGAAGCACATGTAAGTCAAGGAGATGTCCGGACTGACATAGGATTCGAATTTCCCTCCCCCCCCAAAAAAAAGAAAGAAAAATAAATAAAGAACAAGCAATAAAAGTTGACAAACAAAAACCAATCGGGGTTCGCCGCGAAAGCCCAAGATTCAACCAGGTCATGTGCTTAGTGAGACTCTGTTGGGACCCTTTGGTTCTTTCTTGTTGCTCCGGTTCTCGGCTCCGGTTCTCTTCCTCCAGGTTTGTGGTGAGAAAGAGTACAGGATGCAGACGTTCCTTCACATGCAGAACCTAGCTGATAGAGTCAAAAGATGGGGCTTGACCCGACAGCTCTTTCATCAGGTTCTCTCCATCAGGTTCTCTCGCCAATGAAAGAATCCGGAGAACCTGGACAGAAGGAGAGAGATGCCAAACATTCCAAGAATTAGGAAAGGGAAAGCAGGAGAAAGAGATGGCCAGGATTTCCAAGTGTCACTTAGGTGTCTTTCTTATGGGAAAATTTCAAGCCGGGGCATCCAGTGGTTGCCAAGAACGAGGGGGGAAAAGAATCGGGGTCGCCCCTTGTTGTTATAGAGCAGCTTCCGTCCGCAGGATTGGTTCCTACTGTGGATGGACAAAATCCATTTCGCACCAACTTTGAAACCCTAGAATGATACGACTCCCCAACGTTTTCTTCCAACAAACGTTCTGGTTTCACTGGTTTCCCAGTGGTGCGATTTCTGGATTTTGCAACCGTCCACAGGTCATGAAACTTCTACTCCTTCCCTGCCAGGGGTAAACCCGAATCCAAGCCATGCCGCTGGGTCCATGGGGTGTGACCGGAGACTTTTGGAAACACATGGGTGGCTCATGTTTTTTTTTTTTTTTTTTTTTTTTTTTTTTTTCGGCTGGCCACCCCTTTTTTGGTTGGTTTGAAAGGGAACCCAAAATAATGAGAGAAAAGAAGAAGCACGTCATTTTTGGGTTCCCCTAGTGTGAGACATGTTCATCCCCTGACTTGCCCAATGCCAACTTCACTAGGTCAAGGAGCAAGTGAGTACCTGCAAAAGGTCGAGCACAACCTCCGCCAGGTATTCGCGAGCCTGGACTATGGGGTGGAATGGGCCTCCGTCCAGATGGAGACGGCGGTGAGCGTTCTGAAACACCTCACATTGATTGCATTGATGCGCCTCGGCGTTTCTAAAATTGGTGGATCAGCTGCATCTTTGACTGACTGTATGAAAGGTGTACACTTATGTGGGAGTTTCTCAAAATGGGTTTCGGACCTCTTTTGTATGGTTTTCCGGGCTTGCCTGCCACATGCTAACCTAATTGGAGCGCGGGGTTCAAAAGGATCGGAATGGAATGTCAACCACCTGGAATGTTTGTTGCAGGGTTGTCTTTCTCCCAATACATGGGGCTTGATCGAAAGGTGCTTTAAGGTTGGGCAAAACCACAAAACATACACTCCAACTTTGTGCCTCTGAACGGGACACATTACCGGCCATAAGTCACCCCGGAGGGGTGTAGTGCACTTTGATTCACCCATATGACTATGAATTTCAAACAGGGAACCACTTCAAAAGTGGTTGGTGGACTTGAATCCCCACCGAAGTCCGATGTCCACCAAAGGGTCCCTCATGAAGTTTCATGCCCATCTTATGTTTCAGGGTAGATAAGCACCAGCCAAAGTATGGTCCGAGGCAAGTGGTTTTAGAAAGATCCTCAATCCTCGCAAGTGGGATGTAACCAGGGTTGCGACCTACGAAGCAAACTACCTCGCTCTTCAGAGAATGGAAGCCCCAGTCTTCCGAGAACGAGCGGGAGTGAGGAATCAAGCCGCATGTTGTTCGAGCAAGGCAGCCTGGTAGTGGCAGTTGCGGCACGGCCTATTGTCTATTTTCACCCGGCTTCAAATAATCATGTTCACAGTGGTGATCATGATGATGATGATGATGATGATGATGATGATGATGATGATGATGATGATGATGATGATGATGATGATGATGGTGATGATGATGCTGATGTTTGCTGATGATGCTGATGATGCTGATGGTGATGATGATGATGGTGATGATGGTGGCGATGATGATGATGATGATGATTATGATGATGATGATGATGATGATGATGATGATGATGATGATGATGATGATGATGATGATGATGATGATGATGATGATGATGCTGATGATGATGCTGATAATGATCACAAATGATAATGATGACCATGATACTTTTGCTGATACTATTGTCAAGGCCTAGTCTTTCTCTCTTCTGGGCAGGACTCCAGGGAAGTGTCCGCATTGCCGCGCACTTCTTTGCAGGTCATGGCTCTAGGGTTTTAAGTTGCCTTTCGTGGGTGATGCCTCAACCACATTGCAGATGTCGCTTGATTTTCCCGATTGGAAGCCCGTGGGACCGACAGCCGCGGAACCTCCTCCGGAACCCTGCCTGAAAGCTGCCCCAAACCCCCACCTTGTTGATCGCATGGCTTTCAGCTGCGGACAAATGCTGTCGAGAGCCTTCCAGAACATCGCCCCCACTTGAGGTGTCACTTTACCGGCTGCGCCTGGTATGCCCTGGGCAGATATGAAGACACCAGGCTTGGAAGGATTGGAGGGTTTGTGGGTGGATGATGAGGTGGCAATGGCGATGGTGATGATGCGGAGGGTGATGATGATGATGATGATGATGATGATGATGATGATGATGATGATGATGATGATGATGGGCGGGGTCTGGCCTCGTCGCCCAGTTGGCAGGTCCTGGGTGGAGGTGCACCTCGCCGATCGGCTGGCAGAAGATTTGCCCACCGACGCGGGGCACCTCTCGGCTGCATGTTGGGCGTGGGACCCCCAAGGAGGCCCGTGAGGCTGTTGGGCCGAAGCCCCTCCTTGGAGTGGGTTTTTTGCGAGTTATTCAAAAAAAGGTGCAGGCGGTTCTGGAGATTTGCGGGAGGCCAGGTTTAAGGTGAAGGTTTCGGAGGTTCCGGGGTGGTCTGGTTAGTGGTAGGTGTAGGAAGGTTCGGGGTTCCGGGTTCCGGGTTCCGTCAGGCTCAAGGAAGGCTCAGGAGGCTCTAGGCGGCCTGGTTGTACAAGGTTCCGGAGGTTTGGGTGGTGCAGGCCAGGTGTAAGGTCCAAGCAAGGTTCCGGACGTTCCGGTTGGAAGGTTCGGGAGGTTCGCCAAGCGTAAGGTTACAGCAAGGTTTCCGGGCGGTCTGGGGTTAAGCACTCTCAAAAAGAAGACGCACCCAACTGGCTCTTTGGGCGAGCAAAGAGGTACTTCTACATCACCTCGGTGCACTGGGCACTGACGCAGTTTACCCCGGCGGCCACGGAGGCGGCGTTGGTCGTGGAAACCTCCCCGTCTCGCGCGGGAAAATGGATGACCAACGGCTCATATGCGATGTGCCCGCACAACCAGCCACTCAAACGGGCGGTTTGGGCGGTTTGGGCGGTTTTGGCGGTTTTGGCGGTTTTGGCGGTTTTGGCGGTTTTGGCGGTTTTGGCGGTTTCGGGTTGGACGGTTGTGGTGTTTGGCGTGCACTCTACTTTGACACAACTCGGACGTCTTGGGGTGCCCAAGGTTTCCAAGCGCCTGGTTTGACATTCGAATCCCAATAGTGGCGGGTTGTTTTCGGGTAACTGGGTTCCAGGATAAATGTCAGAAATGCATTGGTGAAGGTGAAAGAGCACAGTTTCCTTTTTGGGCGCTCGATCTGTGGTGAAAACAGGGCAATCAAAGGGACGCCACCCATTTTCGAGGTTCCCCTTATGAGACAAGCCACAAATGGGTGCTGTACCCTGTGCTTAGGCTTGGCTCCTTTTTTTCGAGTCAGACAAAACCACATCGGTCAAGGGGGACATTTCCGGCCCAAGCATAGATTCCTTGTAGTCTGGGGTACTGACTTGTAGACGGGGTCCATTTTTACGGGGATAACGTTAACAAAAAATCGACACCCCTATTCTAGTTCTTTGGGTCCAAAATGTGCCATGGTCAAAACAGCCGCGGGGGTAGTGATGCCATGGAATTTTGGGGGATATGGACCATTTGCATATGGTGAGCTCGAGTAAAGCGAGCTCCGTGATGTAAGGATCCCTTCAGGTTTTGGGCATATGGGTGCGTCTTTTTTAAATCTCGGACCCCCCCCCAAAAAGGAAATAGACCAATTAGACCAATGAAGCTTTTCGTTCTGGTGTCCCTGTATATAAAACCACCACAAAAGGAGAGGGGATACCAACTCTCTAAGCCAGACACACCAGACGGTGACCCGCTGGCTTTGATGGATGCCTTCGCAGATTGGCGCCGTCTCTGGGCCGGAGCGCGTCTTCAGCGTGCTGCTCGGCGAATTTTTTGGAGGCCCACGGCGTTTGTTGGTGGTAGCGAAGAGAATCCCAAGAAACGAGGGCCGTGGGAATCCTTTGCGTTTGGGGTTCATTTTCTTTTTTCTGCCAGGTGTTGATTGTGACTCAGGTTGCCTTTGATTGTGGAACAACAAAATCCATTGCTGTTTCTGCAGGTCTCCTATTTCAAGACGCCCAACAGGCCCAAGTTTGACCTCACTTCTCCCACTTGATGTTGTTCCGGCCGTAATTTTTCACAGCTGAAAAAGAGGAGGAGCTTTTTGGTGGACAGAATTCGCCGGGGAGTCAAGTCCACTGAGCATTTAGTGTGGCGTTGTTTTTACCCATCCAAAGACACGTGAGCGAAGGGCACGGGCCGGTTCTGCCCGGTTCGAGGACGGTGATTTTGGCGGGCCTCACTTTATACAGCTTCTTCCTGGGATCTATCAACCAGTCTCTCAGCAAGCTTCGGAGCATGACGGCCCAGGAGACACTCAGATGTTTTCTCTCTGGGCAAGGGACGCTTTGGGGCTAAGGCAATTCCCTTGCGGTCAAACCTACCAGGTTTGCTTTTGGATTCCCTTCTAAATACCAACCAAAGGGTCCCACAAAATTGGAAACACCTTTGTGTATGGGTGGGATCCAAGTTCTGGACACTTTTGGAGAAATACCCAGGGAATGTCCTTAGGAACGCTCAGGAGTTGCGACTGGAGTTGGGGTTAAAGTCAGAGACTGGGGTTGCTTCCCTTGAAGCTTGACTCTACTGGTAGCCAAGAAATTCAGGAACCTGATCCAGGTCGGGATTTGCCAACCCCCTGCCATCCGGCGACTTGGAACCTGACTTGGTCCAAGAGACCTGGGAGCGGCAGCGGGGGTTTTGCCTCAAGCTCGGTGTGGAGAGGAAGCGTTTGAAGTCCCAAAGCATCTGCAAAGTGGTGAAGTACTGGACGGTCATAGAAAAGTGTCCTGGATGGTCATAGAAAAGTGACCTCTTTTGGTTGGTACCTCAATGGAAACAACATCAACCATTTCAGGGCAACATTCCCATTTGAGATCTTGTTTTAAGGGGACCCCCAAAATGGAGGTGTTTCTCTTGGTTTGGCTTTCAATCCAGCCAAGAAGGGTAGCCTCAACAAAGACACACCCATGTCTTCCATTGGGTTAAGAATCTCCCAAGTACTTTTCCCTGGTGGTTAAGGGAACCTATCGCTGGACATATGCATTGTTTGCGTTTTGGACAGGAGTCCCGGCAGAACATGCTGGTGCGACGCTACATCAGCGAGAAGAAGTTGTCTTTGGACTTAGCGGCAGACATCTTGACCTGCATACGCCAACGCGGACTGGGCAAGGCGCGGGTTTTGAGCGAAGCGATGCGCCGATTTTCGGTTTTGGAGCGCCGCAAAAGGGGGTGTCCTTTCTGGAGTTGGTATTTCTTTCGGGGTGGGCTTAAAGGGAAATCAAAAGGAACACTTACGCAATCGGAGAATCAGGTTGTCAATGTTCGGTCATTCACAGTTAAAGGATGACGTTGGGTACACTCACCAACTACCAACATACAATTTAGTGGGATCACAATGGCTCACATAGAACTACGCAACCACCATTGCCGCTTGGATTGACATAGAACCCAACCAGCCGCCATTTGCGAACCTAATCTGAAGATCGGATCCCGTTCTTTGGGCCTAGCCCGTGTTCAAAAGGAAGGTTTAGGCATAGGTCAACATGCAGTTTGGCGGCCTACCCCCTTGGGGTTCCCTTGGTACATATTTCTTCTGGAGCCACCTCACCCTGGAGGTCGGGGGGGGAAACAAGAAAACACGCCGAGGCGAGCAGCAAGATTGTGTTCAGGGACATCAAGGTGCTGGAGAGTTTGCCTCATCGCATCCTGCAACAGTTGCAACTGGACCGGAGAGGGAGTTTCCCAACATGGGAAGGAAACGACCCCCTTTTGGGCTGGAATCGAAAGGGACACAAGAAGGAAAGTCAGCAGTGTAGGGGACCAAATCCTATTCTGGGACGCCAAAAGAAACACCAAACGCCTGCTTTGAGAACCTATAAAACGCCAGAACCCAGGGTTCACCCCCCGGAGGAGGGGGGGAAAAATAATCTAAAAAACAACTACCGGAGTTTTGTTTGCCAACTCGGTGTGTGTGTGTGTGTTTTTCTTTTGGGGGTTGGGCGAGAACTTGCTGGTGATCCTGGTGCTCACGTTGGACATGTATGTTTCGTTTCGAATCGAAATGGGTTCGGGTTTCGATCTGGGCTTTGAACACCCAAGCTGAAACATGGGACCCGATCCGTTGGAACACCAGTGGTTGACTCCGGATCTAAGTACGACGCATCGCGGTATCTCGGGGGTGGCCCCTTCAAAAGTCCGAGACCTACTGTGGATGGACGAAATCCTGCACCACTTGGAAACCATGCGGGAACCTGTTGGTATGTACAGGAACATCGTATCATTCTAGGGTTTCTTAGGTGGTGCGAAATGGATTTTGTCCATCCACAGTAGGGGAACGAGCCTCGAATCTGGCGTAACCAGCACCCAGAACGAACCTTTTTTTCCTCGCAGGAAGTCGGGGTGCCCATCCTCGAGAGCCACGCCATGATGAAGCACTTGCTGGCGCTCTCCCGGGATGTGGGCGCGTTGTGCCGGAAGGCACACGTGAAAGCAACGCGAAAGCAGCCATTTTGCTCGGCTTTTTGCACCAAAAGGGTGAAGAGAAAAACGGGTCAGCAAAAATAAACTATTGTGTGTAAAAACGGGTCAGCCAACAACCACGGTGGCTGTGTCTTAAAAAAGACGAGCCACCCATGGGAACATTTGCAAGTCTGGCAGTTGTTTTTTGGTTTCAAATGACCCTGCGTGCTCAGGTAAGCCCTGATTGGTGGTATGGATTGCTTGGCTTGGATTTGGATTTGAAGTTCCGGATCTTGTAATCGGTAGATTGGACACCACCCCTTAACCACCAAATCACAAATCCAAGCCACCACAAAAAAACAGCACACAGCCTCAGAGGGTATGCATTTGAATCGGGACGATTTGGTGGACATCGTGCAACTGCCATATTGCCATATTGCCCCTTGCATGGTTTGAACATCACCTTTTCTTCCTGGTGCGATAGGCAGGGAATGAGAAATGGAATGACCCGGAAAGACAGTTTCTTGTGGTTTCCTTTAAGGAAATCGCTAGTTCATTCCCAACATTCTGGGTCATGCCCTGCTGAGCACCAGCAAGTCTTGGGGACATAGAACGGCACTTCGGAAGGATCAAACGTTGCAGTTTCGGCCCTTGAACGATATCATGTCGGGGGTAGGAAACATGACCCCCGTCGCCCTAACTGGAAGGCAACACCAAAAGGCTGTTCAACAGTTCAAGACATAGCTTTTGAGCATGCCCCAACCCCATGAGGATTCCTTTAGGGGTTTTGGGGTATGCTCAAGATTCACAAGGTATGTTGGAGCAGCTGAGAAGATTGGACACGTCCGTTGGTTTCACTGGACGGTCTATGGTCTCCAGCCTGAAACCTCTGGGCTCTCAGAGCCAGGTACGAATGGTCGATGGGGAGTTTTCGCTCGCCATCCGAACCGTTTGGGCTCGCTCGCCTTTTTTTTCTTCTTCTTTTCTTATTTTTCTGCCCCAACTGCACATTCTGACTTAGCGTCCGGCCTTATGGTAGAGTATCTTTGGGTTCTCCAAATTGGAACTTGTCATTCTTTGAGGCTTGGGACCCTTGGGGCTGTTTCAACAGGAGACACCTAAAGGAAACTCAAAACCCTTTCAAAGAACACTTCACCCAACAAGCCGTGTTTTAACCAGGGTTTTCTTAGACCCATTTTCGGGGTTGAAGGGACACCAAGGGCCGCCTGTCCATCGCCAGGCGCTGGTGGAGCTCAGTAGCTTCTACGGGGAGGAGTTGTTCTCCGCCGGAGGCTCGCTCGCGGCTCATACCGGTGGGAGAAACACCCACCGGTGGTGAAAGCATCACAGGCAAAAGCGCACAGAAAAACAAAAAAAAACATACATGTGGGTGACTATGGGTGTCTGTTTTTGTTTGGGGGGGGGGGGAGTTGAGGGTTGGTCAGGGAAACCACCGCAACATCCATTTGCCTGACAACGTGTTTTATTTTGTTTTGAAAGGAATCTATCATCGGTCCGTTGTGATATATGTTTTCCAGGGGGGCGAAAAGGGAAATGGAGGATACAACCATCATGTCCATGATTTTTGGATGGTAAAGCCCTTGTGACCATGGCTTGTTTTTTGGTTGGGGCCTCTTCTGGATATCAGGAAAAGCCAGCAAAGGGGCAAGAAGAGTCATAAAATTCATATTATACCCTAGCGTCGGTTTTGGGCAAGGCTCTGGGGACCACATGTACTTCCTCCGTGACGGACGCCTGGGCTACCGCGTGGACTGGACGGAGCACCTGGCGCCGGGCGCGCGCGCCTGGACCATCAAACTAACCGCTTGGCGGTTCTGAGCCGTCCGGTTCCTTAGTTTTGTTTCTTCTTTTTTTCAGCTTTTCTTTTTGCATTTTTTTTTCTCCCCAGTTTTTTTGGCTGGTTTGGTTTGGTTGGGGGAGGGGTTCGGCCGGTTTCTTAGGTTTTTCTCAGTTTTTTTTTGGTTGGTTTGGTGGGGGGTTCGGATTTAGTTGAACTTTGAGCAGGGAATCTGAGGGCAGAAGTGGACAATTGCTACATCATTTTGTGGCATGGGCAATGTTCGAGGGTCCAGGCGTACCTGGGAATGTTGGGGCATACCTGACTATGTGTGAGAATAGAGGGATCCCCAAACTAGGTAGGTTTCCTTTTGATCACACATACCCACTTTTTCCTTAAAGAGATGTCAAAGCAAGCCGTTTTGGAACATGGGGCCCTTATATATTCCAATTTTGGGCGTGGCCCTTTTCCAGTTTAGCGAATCCAAGATGGACACGAAATCCATTTCGCACCACCTAAGAAACCCTGGAATCCTGGAATCATGACTTTCTTGTAAATAGCAACAAGCAATGGCTTCCCATGGTTTCAAAGTGGTGCATGATTTCGTCCATTGTGTGTCTCAAATAGTGGGCCCTCCAAAACTGGTTTGTGTTCGTTTGGTGTCTGTTTGGGCCAACCCCGAAACGAGTAACCACAAAAGAAGCAGACCGATAAACCCTTTGATGACTGAGCAGTATCCAGAAAGCACGGTTCCATGTTTTGATTGGCCCATTGACTTAAATCCAGGCATGGTCCAGAAATTCAAAAGCAAAAGCGAGAAATGGAACCCATGAGCACACCGTTTCCGCATACCTCGACTCTCCGATGAATTTTCCGCCCTTCACTAGCCGTGGTTGTGGGGTTCGGTATGGTTGGTTTGCTTGGATGGGCAAGTGGCACAAGCCTCCTACCAACTGGTCCAGGAGTTCCCCCATCCGCAGTAGAGGGGAGCCATAAGCGGGTCCCCTACGGTTGGCGACCGTTTGGTTACCCACTTTTGAGTCCGTGAATGTGGGGTTAACTTTGTTAGGACCACTTACAAATTTGGCCGAGCATCCAAGTACCAGACATTTGCAGCAGACCACGCATCTTGCGCGTGGACACCTCTGCTAGGTCACAAGCTTTTCTTTCCCCCTTTGGCCCAGGGATGGAGAGGCCAAGGAAGGAGCATCCAACTGTTAGCTCTTGTTCTTTTTTGTTTGTTTGTTTTGGGCTTGAACATATCATTGCCAGAGGCAAGCATAGGTTTTTGGTGGGGAGCAAAAGCTGCGGTAGGTAGTCTTGTGAGGCCTCATTAGAAAAAGCTGTGTGGTCATCCGAGTCCAGCCAACAGTCACCTGCGCTCAGTCGGATATGAGGATGCGTGTGTGGACACCCTTACTCTTGTTTTTCCTTTTTTTGCGGTTGGTGATTGGTTTGCTTGCATCCGCCCGTAGTTGTCTTGGGCGGAAGCTATCCCACTGGGTTGGAGGGGGGCAAGGCTCCTTGTGGTTTCCCACCCGATTCCCTTAGGTTGTCGATCCCTTTGATGAAAAAGACGGCTCAACCCCTCCACGATTTGATGAGAACCCATTTTCTGGGTTTCGTGAATCCCGCGTCGGTTCAATCGCCCAGCGGTCGAAATCTGGCCAGGCGCCAGTCATTCCTAGCCCACTTTCGCGATCAGATTTTCTTTCCCAGACACCTTCTTTCCAGGAAACAAAGAAAACACAGGATCGCTCCAGGCTCATTCTCTGCCCATGGAACCAGCAAGCCTTGGGGTCAACACAAGGGTGTGTCCTGCTTGGAGGGTACCCACCGAAATGGGGGGTCCCCGAAAACCAGATTATACCCACCTGTCAACGGGTCCCGTCCTACATGGACCTGCCTTCTGACTCAGGAGTGGGCGAGACCTGCCTGTGGCTCAAGTGGGAATACCGGGGCCAGATGACCTGCGCGGACCAGCGCTCTGACTCCAAATTCAGTTGGCGCAAGCAAAAGCTGCCGGAAAGGTTGCGTGGATGTGGCTCAAAATTTCAGCAAACCGCAGGTTGAGTCTACCTGGCTCCAAGATTTCAGAGCCAGAAACCTGCAGGTTGAGACCATTTTGGACCGATCAGATGCTTGCAATTTTGGAGAGACACCCAAATGTCCTCGTTTGCGACTCGTGACGTGCGACTTGCGCGTTTGAACAGTCTCCCGCAACATGACACCCTGTATGTCCCCCCCCCCTCAATGTGCTCACTTGTGAGTGAACCCAGCCGGATTGCAAAACAAACATGAGAAGCCGTTATTTTCGGGGCCCAGTTTTGTTTTTCACACGCATCGCAAGAACATATCAAATGCAGCGGGTCCTATAGTTGGATGCCGCAAAAGCTCTGTTTGAGGTGGGTCTTTTGTCCTGTTTAGGACTTGGACCATGATGAATGTCCTTTGCTCGAGGATTCCCTGATTTCCGCTTTTGGCTGAAAGCAGATGACACTTTCCCCACCCACTTTCACACTGGTGTATCTCATTAAACCCCTCAAGGTAGTGGTTTGGGGGTAGCGAAAACCATCCCATGGGTTCGTGCTTCTTACCAAGGTGTCGTGATCCGTTGTTGTTCTTCCGCATTTTGCGGATCAACTTTTTGAGGCTGAAGCATCTGTTGGAGGGTACCTGGAAGATCAATTTGCTGAAGGGACCCTTTGTGAGGTGCCATGTTAGTTGGAGGGAGGGTTAAAAAAAACAAAAAAAACAACTCAACCGGTGTCCAAGTCAGGCACTCGCACCTCTTCCAGCTGAATGCGGAGACCTTCCGCAAGGCACCAGGGAACGGAGCAAAGGGCCTTCCTGCATTACAACTATGCTGGTGCTGCGATAGGTAGGGAATGACCGAGACCGAGTGTTGGGAAAGAAAACGTTTTGGGATTCCCGAAGAAAGGAAACCACCACTTGAAGTTCGATGTGTTCTTTTTCTCTCTTTTATTTTCTTCTTTTCTCGGGGTCCTTCCATTACTTATTCCCTGCCACTCTCTCGCACTCACCAGTACGCCAGAATACCCTGGTTCCCTGAGCCAGTCCTGGGAGCGACAAGAAGCCTCGCCCTGGCTTTTGCGCCATGGCTTTCGTAGGGGTTTCGGGGTGTGCTCAACGGGTGTGGAGGGATTTCTCTCGAACTCAGCCTGAGAAGCAGTCTTGTACTGGAAACTTGAAGGGAGATCCGAAAGCGGTCAAGGAGTCTGTCACTTTGGGTTGTCTTCTCCGGAGGCCAAACAGACTGGGCTACGTGGAAGATTGGGTCCCCAATGTCCTAAGCTCAACTGGTTTTGTTCGCTGCCATGTATTTCGTGGTTTGGGCCGGCGGAGGTTTTACGTACCAAACGGACAGGATGACAAATGGGAACCCCGGAACCCCAGGTGGATTTTGAGAGATCTGGAGCGACACCCTCCAGATTTGCAGGATGGGTTCATCTCCTAGATCCGGGATTCTTATCATGAACTTGGTTGATTCATAGAGAAAGCACCCGGTCATGGACCTCCAAAAAGCCTTGTTGCGATTTCTGGCCGAGGATAAGCCGAAGGGTTTATCGGCTGATAGCCCTCTCCCCGAAAAGGGCGTTAGAGGTTCATGGTTCGAAGACCCCTTCTTGTTTGGGGACTAGGGATGGCCATGGATTCCTTAGGATCGTAGAAAATAGCGTGCACCCTCCCAAACACCCATTTGTACTCGCGGTCTGTCTTTGAGGCTCAGAACCCCTTTCAAATCGGTTGGGGCAAACAAAGGACCTGTCCGCTCCGAAGCTTTAGTTGGTGGTCTGAATTGGTGCTTTGGGGATTGACACCCTGTGTTTCTGGAGTCCCAATACAAGCTCAAAGAGACGAACACCGTGGACCATGTCGCACCAGTTGGGATGGATGAACACCCTCTAGTTCATAAACCACCTACCACTGGTGCGAAGGGATGTTGGCTATCCACAGTATCACTCCTTGATAGTCCTACTTCTTGATGAGTGGAAGGACGCTCCGGAAGAAGCGAACCCTCAAAACCATTTGGAGGAGGGAGTCTTTTGTTAGTGGACCCCACCCCCCTGTGTTGCTTTTTGTTGCACATTGACCTATTCACACACTCCGCTGACATGATGGCTCAAGGCCCTTCAAGTCATTTGTACAGTCATTCGACTCATGGTACATTGATAAAAAGGCTTGCAGACCGCTTCACAGGATTCACAGTCAACACAAGCCACCAGGGACAATCCATCCTCCAATCCGCCATATTGGCATATTGGACTCTCTCCGGAATAGATCCAGGGACCAAATCAACGACCTCTACTACCACAGGGTACCAGTTCCCTTCTGGGATAGGCACCCCGGCAGTGGGCCTCAATTTGTGGTAGCGGAGCAGGTTTTCCGCAGAGATCCAAGGGAAGATGTCATCCGATGGAGAAGGCTTCATGGAAGCCTATTCAAGTATGGCCAAACCATCAGGCTACACGGAGGAAACACTCAATTTATCGATGACCGCCAAGCAGCCGCCATCGTGCGACGGAAAAGTCAGCTGGTTTCGGTATGAAGAACTCGTGGACGACTGGGTGACAATCACTACGGTGGAAGCACCCAAGAGAGGACCTCTGCTCAAAAGCAGACTCACTGGAGATGCCTATATGTACAAGGCAGTCCTCCAAAATGACCTTTTGCAAGATCCTGATGAAGGAGTCAACTACTTCAAGAACACGCTGAAGAAGTACTTTTTGAAAGGTGCGACCAACGTGTATCTGTACAGGCTCCTCAGTTTCTTCAATCATAGAAGGCAGAACCAAGAGTTCCTCATTTTTACCTCAAAATTCCAAATCCTTCTCATGAGATTGAAGGCAGCATGGATGGACTTGATGCCCGTTTTCACGGCACAGTCCCCATCATTTCGACAGTCCGTATAGGACACAAATGCAAGAACAATTGCTCGACATCAGGAAGCAGCTGGTACTCGAGTACCGCCTCCAGTCCTGCTCGATGAGGGTGATCCAACAGTCCTCAGACAGCATATCACGGGAATGCAGGACAGACAGCGGGACGCATTTCCCTGCAGGGATAATCTCAGCAGAGAGAAAGACTGACCAGTGCAATGTCACTGAGAAACATGTCGCTAGAGAACTACTCCTATGAGATGCTGAAGACGCATTACCATGAGCTCTTCATTACGACCCGGACATCCATTCAAGATTCCATCCGACCTCAGGGAGGCAACCGAAGCAACACATTCTTCATCATCGAACAAGGTGAATACGAAGGAGAAGAAGGCTTTTGGGTTGAGGATGAAGAAGGACTTGAAGGATTCATGTCTAACAACGATGAAGAGACATTGGGTCCTCGAGGAGAATGATACGTTCATAGCAAGAAAAGTGTCAGGGCGGAATTTCAGATTCAAGAAGAGGAAAGGAAAAGGAAAATCAGGAAACAAAAAGGACAGTCACCAACGAGGTAGCTTCAAACCCTTCAGAAAAAGCGGTTCTGGCGGGAAGGCCAATATGGCAAATGAAAATTATGATCCCTACGACCAGGCATATTGGGGAAAAGGCAAAGGAAAGAAGGGAAAGAAAGGAAAATCAAAATTCCAATATCCCTATGATGGAAACAAGGGTTATCCATCCTATGAGAATGGCAAAGGAAAGGGCGGACATGACAAAGGAAAATCCAAGACGTTCGCAGCCATCGCAGAGAAGACGGAGGAGCAGCCCGCCATCCAGCAGACTGCACCATCCACAGAGCCTACCTATGCCGGTTGGACAGACCAAGATTGGGATCAATCATGGACATGGAACGAACAAGACATCCAGCACAGGACAAGCGTTAATGGCATTCCATGACGCCTATGAGCAGCATGAGAAAAAGGCCATCCACGGGAAGCTGATCCAATCAGATACAGTTTCAGAACACAATTTGTCCGTAACAACAAATCACAGCCTTTTGGCAAGAAAGCTGATGGCGCCTGTCATCAACCCTCAGCGCAATCCGACCTATGCGATCCTGGACAACGGATGTACCAGATCCATGGGCAGCTGGCATGCAATCCAGCGTTTTACTCAGGCCATCGAACCCATGAAGGACATCATCTCCTATCAGTACATCCCGGCCGAGACCAAGTTCACTTTTGCAAACGGAGAGACCGCCAGGGTAGATTGGACCCTGCATCTTCGATATCACACAACTCCTCCATGCAGTACCAACATCGACGTCCTTGAACAAGGAACTGTACCGATCCTCCTCAGCATCAGTCAGATGCGGAACCTCTACATGACCATCGAGCACACACCTCAATGTGACAAGATCACACGCAAGGCTTTTGGCATGAACTGTCAAGCAGTTCCAGTATCCGGTACAGGACATGCGCTCGTCGACCTCGCTGGAGTTGCAAGAGTGAAGGCGCATGGAGAAATTGCTCAGAAGGCCTCACCAACTACGTCTACGATGATGACAACAGCATCAAGTTTCCCTCCGGGGATATCTCCAAGAGTGAAACTGTTTGTGCAGCAAAATCATCCGAGACGAAGGAGGACCTAGCAACTCCTAAAATCATTGGGTCTCAACAGCAGGACCATTGGGTCCTTGATAAGAAGAAGAAGCAGCTCATCCGTGTGCACATCACGCCTCGCAAGGCGCTGTTCACACCAAATGGAGCCAAGGAATGTCCAATCAATCCTGATAACATCAGCCGAGAGCATACTACGGAAATCATTGATGCATCCGAAGGTGGAGATCCAGACATCCTAGAAGACAATTGGAGACCTACATCCCAGGCAAACAAACCAATGATTAACCTGTGGATAGGTAAGACCATTTTCACCTTCGCGGACAAGTCGCTTAAGGACGAAGAAGCAGGCTCAGGATCGGCAGCAGACAGGATCATCGACAAGAAGGGCCGGTCGACCATTGAGCCAGATCCTTTCGCACCATCCTCAGAAGAACCAACGACGCTTCCGCTTGCACTAGGCAGAACCCACAAGCGATTGTCCAATCCCGAAGAGTTGAAGAAGCTCCACCTCCAGCATCATCACATGACAACAGATCAATTTCGATTTAGAACTCGCTCACTTCATTTGCCGAAATCAACATTCGATCTATTTGACAAAATCCGAAGTGAATGTGAAGTTTGCCAAGCGGCAAAACATGCACCATCACGAAGCAAGACGAGTGGACTTCGAGCGGACACCTTTGGTGACATGACATTCATTGATCACTGTCAAGTTCCCCTTGGAACAGGAGAACACATCATTGGTTTTGTCATCCTGGATGGAGCAACAACATTGCTCACTGCAGAGGCCGTGACAACTACGCAGGAAGTCGACTCAGGAACTATTTTGACCAGTACCGCTTACAGCCCAAATCAGTTGTCGCAGATCAAGCCTTCATGACAGAGACGTGGGAACATTTCTATCAGTCCCTTGACATCACACCGATATCCTTGGGACCGAACACACCATGGCCAAATCGAGCTGAAGCAGCAGTTCGACTCCTGAAGGCACAACTCAAGATCATGCCATCAAGGCAGGAACAGCACCTGCAACACTGAAGAAAGTGACATACAGACAGCTGGTGAAGGCAGCTGCAACTGTCAGAAATCAGACTGTCACCTACGGGGGTGAAATACCATTGGAGCTCGCATTCGGAAGACGACCAGCAGATCTCATCCAACTCGATGTCGCAACACCAACTCAGTTGACGATTGACAGGAATGAGGAGGAGATGACAGCCATCCAGATCAAGCAGCTGTCGAAACAAGCATTCCAAGAAGCACGTAAATTCGAAGACATCCGACGAGACCTTGCTC